TATATCTGATATGTGTGAATTTGCTAATTTCAGACACAATTAGAATATGAGCAGGAAGAACTTACCAAAGGCATTGGCAAATTTGAGAGACAAGCTATCAATATTTCTGATCAGATACAAACCGAGGCACAGGTATATTTCAGAATATATTGGAAACAATTTTTGTTGTGTGTACAACTATATTGCATGTGTCATATTATGTTTGTTTGTAGGAATTGTTACGTTTATTCGGCATACCGTACATAATAGCACCAATGGAAGCAGAAGCGCAGTGCGCATTCTTGGAACAAATTAAATTCACCGATGGTACGATTACAGACGATTCCGATATTTGGTTGTTTGGTGGTCAATATGTATACAAGAACTTTTTCAACAATAACAGAAAAGTGTTACAATTCTGTGCCTGTGATATTCAACATCATTTTAGTAAGCATTAGATCTCCTAGATCTCCTAGATAGATCTCCATAATTTTTTTTTTTTTTTAAATACAACAAAAATATATATTGAATATATATCATCTAAAATATTTGTGAGAAATTAAAATTAATTATAAAATTAATTATTGTATATGTATGTGCGTGTATGTTTAACGATATAACACATTATATACATATCGCAGAACTCAGTCGGAATCAATTGATACAATTGGCCCTTTTGGTCGGTAGTGATTATACCACAGGAGTGGCGGGTATTGGTCCAGTCACCGCGTTAGAAATATTAGCCGCCTTTCCCGCCGAAGGAGATAACGTATTACACGGATTATATAATTTTTGCTCGTGGATTAAAGAAGGAAAATTTTCTGGAAAAACGGGCCTACACAATAAGTTGCGAAATGTGAAGTTGGACAGAGGTAAGTGGTGATCATCTGCAAAACATGATTAGATAACGACGAATAGTCTCTATATCACTTACTAGTGATAGAGAGAAAGAGTAAATAGTGTAACTAATTTCAGATTTTCCGAGTCAAGCAGTCGTCCAAGCGTATCTTTTCCCTACGGTCGATGAATCAAAAGAAACTTTTACTTGGGGTAAACCGAACGTTGTGCTTCTTTGTGATTACACCAGGCAGAAATTTGGATGGACGAAAGGCAAGTTTGATGACACAATCATACCGGTATTGAGGAGAATGGAGGAAAGCAGGAATCAAAGATTGTTGGACATGTACTTTAAAACGAAAATATCACCGCGATCTATCGAGCCAACCTTGAGTAAGAGAGTGCAGAAAGCTCTATGCAAATTAAATAACGTCGATATGGATGAAGAAAATGTAGATGGCAAATCTCGATCTAAAAGAAATAAAATAAGCAATGCCGTCCTAAAGTTGAACGAAGAAGAAGATGTAGTCGATTTTGAAATATCGATTCACGAGACTAAATCGCTTCCAAAAGTAAATGCTACCACCAATAAACCTCTTAAATCCATTGACAAAAAAAAATATACTAAGGAATATATACCACAACGAGAAAAGGATAGAGAATGTGCATTAGAAAGAAAATTACATGCTATAGAGATATTTAGAAAATCAAAAAAAGGTTTAGGTAAAACAAGAAAGGTAAAATGTGCAGCACGAAAGGTCAAAAAAGAGGCAGAACTATCGGAAAGCGATAGCAACTAGATCTAATGTTTTAAATTAAAATAAAAGAAATTTTTATATATGGTGAATAACAACTTATAAGATTTATCAGAACCAAATTTAATTAACATAACCTAATATTATCGATGATGTCTTCTGTGTTTCAATTTTGCATCTTCCTTCGCTCTTAATAGTCGTCCAATTTGCGACAAGCTTTCTATGGTTCTGAAGATTGTGTATAAAAATATGTATGAATAATATGTGACAGGCAATGTATTACATATATATACTTTTTTGGACTTTTGTTATTTGTTATGTGTGTTTTTACATACATACATCTTTATATGTGTAAAAATACAAATTATTTTTCTGTCAAAAGGACTATATACTCCAATAATTATATTTTTTAGATTCAGTAATATAAGGGTTGACAGAAGACATTATCATCATTTCTGTCAATATAGCTCCGTAAAATACAGATTCATATATTTATATGTATACAGGGTGTCCGACAAGTAAATGACCAAACGAAAGGTGGAGGTAGATTGGGTCAAACTGAAAAAAAAAGTCCTGTACTATTTTTTTCTATAACGCTTAATAAAAGAGTTATTATTGAGTACAGGACTTTTTTTTTCAGTTTGACCCAATCTACCTCCACCTTTCGTTTGGTCACTTGTCGGACACTCTGTATATACATTGTAGCTAAAAATTATGTGTTTTAATATTCTATGATGATAAATAATAATGGATAGTTAATAGAATGAACAAACATAGTCGATAAAATATGGATATTTTTCAAAGTTCAGTTTGCGAAAAGCCGTTCTTTTTTAATCGCTTATAACTTATTAAAAATTATTAATACTTCGACATTTTCGTCGAGTAATAGTGCGTCGACTTTGATACATTGGATCTATTCTTTATAGCTGAACTGGCTGCATTAGTTCAGCTATAAAAAACAGACCCATTCTGTATGTATATGTGCGCGCGCACGCATCGTGTACACACGCACAGCACACACACGCGCGCGCACGCACACACGCGCGCGCGCACACACACACACGCGCGCGCGCACACACACACACACATATAGCACGATAAATATAGAAATATGTAAAATACAGTAAATGTTTTGGCTGTACAGTAGTAGCAAAAAACCGTCAAATAAAAAAAAACATGTTTCTTACGTTTATACTGTTTGAAAAATCAAATAAATAGATCCGGATTATAAAAAAGTTAAAGTATCACAAAATAATATGCCCAGTAAGCAATTTGATAACAAATTGTTGCCAAATTGGCATCAAATTCGCTCAAAACTTGGTAACAAATCCAGTGCCATCTGTGTCCGCATTAAGCTTGTGTTTTGGTGACAAAGCTTGCTGACATAACCTGACAGCAATTTGACGGCAAAAACCGAGCAAGGCTTGACATGATTTGACGTCAAATTGGTAGCAAAAATCGAGCAAGATCTGCGCAAGACAATCTGACAGCAGATTGTCAGCAAAAACCGAACAAATTCTGCAGCTTTTGGCCATTCATATAAAATAGTATATTTAAATGGATTTAAAGTCTCAACCCTAAGTAATAAAATGATGATAAGTTTTGGTCATAAAATGACCATTAGATAATTAGACATTCTAAGTTAGGTCTCATAAGACCCAAAATATATCACATCTACGGGAGACCATTTTTTGACGTTCTTTTGATGGCAAAAATAAGAAACACAATATACAAATTACAGTATTGTTATATAAAATCATATATTAATGTTTTAAAACGTATAAGTAAATTTAAATAATTTACTTTACAAAATTAAAGATCTTTTTGGACAGAAATTGTTTGAATAAGTGAAAATCGAACAATTATCTGTCCGATTTGCCAAAAATCAGTTCAATATCTGAATTTCTTGTATAAGAATTGTGTCAAAAATTGAACTGATAGAAATATATATATTATAAAATTATTAGCATTTTGTAGGCTTTATATACACTCATGACAAGAATTTGAATACGGGTATAGATAATGAATAACGCGCCGCATAGCGATAAGCGACTGAACTATTTTATAATACTTTGTAATAAGCTGCAGATTCTGTTCGGTTTTTGCTGCAAATTTGCCATCAGATTGCACGCTCCAGATCTTGCTCAGTTTTTGCTGACAATCTGATGTCAGTCATGTCAGCAAGCTTTGCTCGGTTTCTGCCGCCAATTTGCTGTCTAGTTATGTTAGCAAGCTTTGCTTGGTTCTTGCCGGCAATCTGCCAGCTTAATCGACAATAACAACTCTTGCACCAAATTTATAGCCTTCCCAGATAGCAAAGTCTGTTCGAACAGATTTTGACAAACGTCTGCTACAAATTTTTGTCAGCAGAAATATTCCAGATTGTATACAAAGTCTATTATATCAAATAATAATAGCAGAATGTCAGCAGAAATGTTACAAAACGTGCTGACATAATTTGACAGCAGATCAGTAGCAGAAACCGAGCAGGATTTGCATAGAATTATTATAGCAGACAGCCAGCAAAAACCGAGCAGGATCTGCACAACGCAATTTGATGTCAAATTGATAGCAGAAATCAAGCAGGATCTGCGCGCCCGCAATCTGACGGCAGATTGGTAGCAGAAATCGAGCAGGATCAGCAGATCCTGCTAACATGACTTGACATCAGATTGTCGGCAGAAATCGAGCAAGATCTGCGTGCGCGCAATCTGATGGTAAATTGGCAGTAGAAATCAAACAGAATCTGCAGCTTTTAGCATTCATGTTTTTGACATCTTCGTAAAAGAAAATAATTGTAATTAATATTTTTCCTAATTTATGATAAAAACTTTTGATTGTGAACATCCCCTAAAATCAACTGCATGAAACAAAAAAAACCGAGTAATTTGCAGAAAGAGAGAGAAAACTAGAGATAATATTTTTCTATTTTTCTAATTTTTAGTAAATAACTTTTAAATAAGTAAGTGGATCTAAATCAAGTTTTGCACGAATATTTATTAGAGTTTTCTTAATATATGTGTTAATATTATTTTTTTGGCAATGTTTTTTCCTTTTCAAATTTATCAATAAGTGCTACAATACGTAATTTTCCATAAGAATCAGTAACTAACTTTAAACTTAAATAATTTCCAAACCTTTAAGAGAATTGTGCTCATATTTTGCACAGATATTCAGAAGAAATAGTAGAACAGTCTACGAAATTTTCTGCTTTTGTCAATGTTTTGACATATGACACACATCCTTAAAAATATAAAAAAGAAAACATACAACTTTATTCAACAACAATTAAATGATTTAAAAAATGTGAATCGATTTATCATTTGTCTTGTGCATTAATTAATTCTAAATCTGCACATTTTTATCTTTAAAATTATAAATTCCAGACAATTCATCAAGAGAAAAAGAATTATCTTTGACAATATTTAAAAAAAAAAAATCTTTATAACAATTTATTTGTACGAAAATATTTATAATGCGTTAACAATGAAACATATAATACTAGATTATATGGATTTGTATCTATGATACATATGTACATGTACATATGTATACTATATTGTATATAACTACATTGTATATCATATGTATAGCTGAACAATTAGCATTTTACAATAAAATTAGAAAAAACAGAGAGAGAATGTTACAAATCTCGATATAATAAAATATTCTGATACATATACAATTAATAATATATTATGTGTAGGATAATATCTGTAAAAAATATCTGTAGAACATACATACCCCTCCATAGTTTATATAAACTTATACAATTATATATAAGTAGATTTTATTATCAACTTTTCATCAATCTACAAGCAGGTATTTATTGAATCAGTTTTCTTAAGTATTAATATAGCTACTATTTCTCTGATTAAGAGAAAAAAAAACAAAGAAATAAATCATGATTTAAAAAAAAAAAATTTGAAGCTTTATACATTAAAAATCGTAATAAAACTCTCATATAGCACCAGCTTTCTTAGCACCATTTTATACATAATTTAATAAGATCCGAATATTATCATTGATTTAAACCGAATAATTTTAAAGCATTAAATGCGGTAGCCAATGCAACTTGCTCCGGCGTGGTTCGCATAAATGCCGCTACCATTTCTACAACCGCTGGCAAGGCACATGGTTCGTTACGTTGAAAGGTGCAGTAACGATGGAGGAACATCATAGACCGTTCGGTTAAAGCGTCCTTCACATGTGCGGGTAGTTTGCTGGCTCTGGTATTGGGATACATAAATGGTGCGTCGGTTTCTACTAAGATTTTATCTAATGGCACCTGTCCACCTTCTAGCAATTGTCTTATCCCGCTGTCAGACTTATCCTTGCATAAGTAACCTGTGATACCTAGATAAAAGCCTTGATCCAAATAAATGTGCGCCTCCTCTGCAGTGCCGATGAAGGAGTGAATCAGAACAGGCGGTAAACGATTCTTATATTGACTAAGAACCTCTAACACATCCTTTTGTGCACTTCTTTCATGTATTACTAATGGCTTATTTAATGTACAGGCTAATTCTATTTGTTTATGAAACACAGCGCGTTGAGCCTCCGGGGCTGAAAAGTCCCGACTGTAATCCAAGCCACATTCTCCGATTGCAACACATTCAAGATTATTGGCTATGCTTTCCAGTTCATGCAAAGTGTCTGAGTCCTCCCAAGATTTGGCATCATGCGGATGTATGCCAGCTGTCGAGTAAAGCGTTCCGGGATATATTCTAGTTAGCCTCAAGGCTTCTTTGCTGGAACGAATGCTGGCACCTATCACCATAATCTTTTGTACACCGGCATCCTTTGCTCTTTGTATTACACTATCTAAATCTCGACTATACTTCTTATTCGTTAAATTGGCACCCACATCAACTATAATATAATTTTCATAGCATTGAGTCATGGATGATGGAACAGCTTTCTCCTCTTCAGCCATTCCTTTAGACTTCTATGAGACTATAAACTGAAGTATAAAAATACTCAATATTATCAACATTACTTCATTCAAGATAATAAATATATGATATCATTCTATTATAAGAGAAGATCACACAGCTCTGACATCTCAATGGTATACATAAACATACGTGCGCATATGTATGAATTGGATGTGTAATAGAAAATTTTTAGAAACACATGTATTTTTAGAAAGCATACTATTAAAAAATATAATTCATAAATATGGGCTCTATCTCAATATAAATTTATTAAACCCATTTTTATTAAAAACATTTTTGCATTTATAACTAAATAAGTGCCTGTTTGTAGAAAAAGTCTAAAAAAGCAATGTAAATAGATTTAATTATTTATATGTAATTATATATATATATATATATATCTCTTTTCAAACATGAACATATTAATTTAACATAACAGAGATCATTAATATATATCACTATAAATAAGATGATCATATGCAACAAATCATTCATAGTAACGGATAAATTAATGCGAATTTGATCACTCAAATTAGACCACATTAGTGCATATTAAAGGCTGCTATATACAGGATGAGTCACTAGAAACTACATTCTAAGATATCTTCACAAATATTGATTTTACATAAAAACGTTTAAGACAAAAGTTAAATAATTTTAAAAGAGCTACATTTTAATCGTTTTAATTTATTTTTAGGTGGAGGCGCCAAAAAGTTTTGAAAGTCATATCTCAAATTTTTTAAATAGGAAGCTCTATTTTTAATCAACTATAATTGTAGAGGATGAAAAAACGAATCCAACGACCTATAATACTTTGACCATGGGGTGACCTTGAAATGAAAAAACCTAGAAAAAACAGGAGTAATAGGTAAATAATAAAAGTAATAATTTTTCAAATAAAATAAATTAATTTTATTTAATAAGATGCTATCTTTTAGAATCGTTCGACATTGATAATACATTGTTTCATATCTTTGGGAGTTGTTGGTACATCTGTATACTATTTGTTCACTCATCATTCCAATAAAATCCCATTGACACATTTTTTTTCGTTGTGTTTATTAACTCAAAGACATGAAACAACATTTTACCAATGCTTGAATGATTCCAAAAGATATGTTGCAAAGAATATGCACATCTTTTAAAAAACATATTCAAAAGTGTAATGAAATGAATGGGCAACACTTTGAGCATCTTATTAAATAAAATTAATTCATTTTGTTTGTAAAATTATTACTTTTATTACTTATCTATTACTCCTCCTATTTTTCTAGATTTTTTAATTTCAAAATCATTTCACGGTCAAAGTGTTATATGTCGTTGAATTCGTCTTTTCATCCTCTAAAATTATGGTTGATTAAAAATAGTTTTCCATTTAAAAAATTTGTGATGAACTTCAAAACTTTTTGGTGCCTCGATCTAAAAATAAACGAGCTAAAAATAAGATCACCAAAATGTAGCCCTTTCAAAATTATTTAACTTTTGTCTTGAATGTTTTTGTGTAAAATCAATATTTATGAAGATATCTTAAAAGGCAGTTTTTAGGACTCATCCTGTATAAAGTTATCTAAATAAAAAAGATAATATAAACATTTTAAAGAATTAAAACTTAATAATGATATATTGTCATATTATTTAGCAGAATATACATTAATTATAAATCATTATCAAACATTATAGTTTATACAGGGTATTAAAAAAAAGGGTCACATATTTTAAAAGCAGATAGTATTGATCAAAACAAAAAAAAGTCTAATTAACATGGGTCCTCCAATTAATATCTTCGAAGATACAGGCTACCTTTCTATTCAGTTCTTTGTCTTTTTGCTAATCTCTTAGATTTTTGGCTATAGGGACACTTAAAGATTTTGGTGTATTCAACACCTGTTGATGACATACAAGCATTGCAGGATCGTGTTTTCAATGCGTGCCAGTAAATTTGGGAACAATCAGATGTGTTTGATGCGTGACAATGAATGGGAACCACATAGAGCACCTCTTATAATGCTGGTGGCAAAACCAGTAAGTACTCTTTTGTTTACTGTATTGTAGAGATGGCACAACCAATTAGAAAAGGATAAAGAGCTCAAATAGAAAGATAGCTTGCATCTTCGAAGATATTAATTAGGACTCTTTAATTAGACTTTTTTGTTTTGATCAATACTACCTGCTCTCAAAATATGTGACCTTCTTTTTTAACATCCTGTATATTATGCCATTGTATTAAATATATGATTTAATATCCACTAGTACGGTGTAATAGGGATAATCGAATTCGCTAAAAGTTAATGTTACATAAACAGGCACTTAACTTTCAAGTACTTAACCTACACGCGATGCATCAGAGTTCATGTCAATTAAGAGCTAAGATATTTGCGCGGTGCATGACTGAGTCACGATTATAAAACGAAAAGTAAATGATACCGGTACAAATAAGAGTTGGAATCGAATGGAGAATTAACTGTGATTATTATTGAACTATAAATAAAATGACAAACTTACGTCAATTCCAACCTTCAAATACACGAGCTATACGGTACGTATAATATAATATACTCCACACGTTGGATGATGTGAATTCTTTTTCTTGGAGAATTACTCATCGCTCATTTTTGTTAAAGTAGCCGTTATATACACTCATATCATTAAATAACCGTGCGAAACAGAGCGAAAGAGAATCGAGTATATGTAAATGGGCGCGTTCAGGAGACACAACCATTGAATATCGTCTTGTCAACACTCGACCAACGTATAATACAGGTGTTCCGATATTCACTGCCAACTGCCAATACTGAAAATCTATAGTTTACGTCACATACACTACAGATTTTCAGTACTGGCAGTGAATATTGGAACACGGCCACAGCAGCGCAACCATAGACATAGTATGGGTCTGTTCTTTATAGCTGAACTGGCTGCACTAGTTCAGAGTTTATCTTTTTCTCTCCCCATTGGAAGGAGAAAGATAAGCTCTGAACTAGTGCAGCCAGTTCAGCTATAAAGAACAGACCTTTATATCTAGACCGAGTGTTGAGGAGTGAGGGCCAAGGTGCACGTAGAAAATAACGTGCACGTCGACTCCCACTCCTCAACACTCGGTCTAGATCAGAGACATAAGGTGTGTTCCGATATACACTGCCAGTACTGGCAGTGCTGAAAAATTGTTCCGTTATTAGCACGCAGTGTGCTGCGACAGCATCTAGTTCCATCAATGACGTCATAAATGGTAGCCATGGTAGCCATGCGGTTACTGCAGCTCCCAAGATGAAGCAGTTACAGTGCAACATGGCGTCGTGCAATAAAAAAATAGAATTGTTAGATGTTGAAACTAACAAGATGTACACATTGTATTTAAGTACAGAAGATGCACATAAAGCAAAAAATTAGATATACTATGTCTATGGTAGTACTTATTGTTAGTACGTATTAAAGTATATCGGTGTAAACTAGCCCACTATTCCCCAGCAAAATATTAGAATCTAATCAAGGATTAAGGGATATAATTTTCATAATTTTTTTTCTGCACTTTTATAACATACTGCTTCTTTAAATTATTTCCTATACTTTTAACAATAGCTTTTCAAACGGTGTCATTTTGTCATTTGTGAATCCCTTTTTGTGTTTTATTTATTTGAATATTCCAAAATTTCTTGCTGCATTTGTATTTTAATTTTATTTTAATTTACACTGCCAGAGTAGTAACGTTTTATAATATATGTTTTATTAATAATAATAATAACACACACACACAGACACACACGCATCTATTATATAATAAAATTATTGAAATAAATATAATTCTGGGCAACAATATTCTGCGCAGACGCTTAACGCTCGACGCTCGACGCTGCCAAGTAAAGGCACCTTAAAGCGGGGAGCACACACTTTAGCCTATCACACACAAATTGGCATAGCTGCATATGCATAGCATAAGATCGTCTGGACCAATGAGCATCAAAATAAAATCGCCATATTGATTTACATAGCATGCTCATTGGTCCAGACCATAGACATAGTATATCTAGATCGAGTGTTGAGGAGTGGGGGCCAAGGTGCACGTAGAAAAGGACATATTCAGTTCCGTGCTCCTTGCGTTCTCTCTCACTCGCATGTAGCATAGCGAAAGAGTACGCTATGCTACGTGCGAGCGAGAGAGAACGCAAGGGGCACGAAACAGAGTATGTCCTTTTCTACGTGCACCTTGGCCCCCACTCCTCAACACTCGATCTAGATATACTATGTCTATGGTTCAGACGGTCTTATGCTATGCATATGCAGCTATGCCAATTTGTGTGTGATAGGCTATAGCCCTTTTGTATAAGAGCATAATCATAAGCATAAAGCCTATAGGCTATCAGGGCTATCGCACACAAATTGACATAGTTGCATATGCATAGCATAAGACCGTCTAGACCAATGAGCGTGCTATGTAAATCAATATGGCGATTTTATTTCGATGCTCATTGGTCCAGACGGTTTATGCTATGCATATGCAGCTATGCCAATTTGTGTGTGTAAAGCCTATAGCCTATCATAAAATGACCATTAGATAATTAGACATCCTAAGTTAGGTCTCATAAGACCCAAAATATATCACATCTACGGGAGACCATTTTTTGACGTTCTTTTGATGGCAAAAATAAGACAAATTACAGTATTGTTATATAAAATCATATATTAATGTGTTAAAACATATAGGGTATCTCATCATCAATAAAACCAACAATTTCACTGAAATATTTTTTTAAAAAATTTATCGGAAACAAAATAAATCATTTTATCTGTGGTTGGATCATATTTACAGTTATAATCTTTATATGTTAAGGTCACAAAAATTTTCTAACTCAATTAGATATTAAATTTACTGCTCATTTAATTTAATTTTGTCACTTTTAATATGTGGATACTACGTAGACATAAGAAATCAATTCAGTCCAAAAATCGATATTAGATGGTTATAATAATCCAATAATAGATGACAAATCATGTTATGCTTTTCAATTTGCATATTAAAATATAAGAATAAATATAAAAACTTACACAGTTGAATCCTCAAACTGTATCGTTTCTAATATTTCATCAGATACAAACTGTATTATTTCCTCTTCATTGTTATTTTACCAAAGAAAGGCATTGATCACGGTCGACATAATATGCAAAGAGTGAATAAAGTACAGCTGTTTTTTTCAATTACAGCAGATGTTGAAATTTCGGAGACTTATATCATAATTAATATAATAAAAATAATAAAACTTTACAAGGTAGTACAATGGATCCAAATGTAGAACCATAAATTTATCCGTTATGTAATCAAGGTTGGTATAATGATTTAAAACGTAAAAAACAGTAATAAACGATTAAATAGAACAGCATACGCAAAATATTGAATGGCTATACATGATAACTTTAATATTTTTATTATGGGAAGGTGATTATCTCAACAATGGGTTGTAGATAATCACCTTCTTATATCAAAATAGAAAAATATATAATAAATTACTGAAATATTATTAAATTAATAATAATAATCAATAATATAATAATTATAAATTTAATAATAAAAAGGGAAAATAAATGTAATAAAACGTAAATAATTAAACATTAATAAATAAGTGTAAATAATTAAATATATAATCGTATCATTTATAATTCTATAAAATGAGGAAGCCAAAATTGCAAAAACCTGCTTGCTTTAAGGAGCTTAAGCTTTGTGAGTGAAATAAAATGATAAGGAAGCAATGTGCAAGTTTCTAATTTGTACAATTTTCATTTTGTTTCTACTATTATGTCTTGATTATTGTTATTGTCTGTTCCGTGTGTATGTATCTTCGTAATGTTCTGCTAGCATGTTAAGCTTTCTGTACGTCTGGACGAGAACTAGTGCATTACAACGTGGTACATTGTTGGCGATAGTAAGATTTCCAATTGCTGCAGATATATAGAATTTGAAAATTTTGAGAAAACTATGAATAAAACAGGTTTTTATTGTCACAATAATTAAGATATCTTATCACAATAATTAAGATATCTTGTAAAAAATGATCCGAATTATATCGTATTTGATATCATTTTAATCGCAAAAATTTCATTAAATCGTTAAAATTACTTGCAAAAAGTTAAAATAAGGAATTAATGTTTTAGTTTTGATGATAGGTCATTTCGTTTACTTTCTACCCAGTTTCTCTCTTGTTCTCGCACTCAACGAGTCGCGCTAGTACAACTCGGGAAAATAAGCAGGCCCAAGAATTATCGACTGTTAGCCGTGCAAAATTTCGGAGCTCTGATGCTATCATAGATCAGCTCGCTTGCCTGCTCTGTACTCAATTTCGCTCTCGCACTCAAATCACGCTAAGACAACCAAAAATATAAAAACTGCTTATCTTTCCAAGGTATTTATTCATGCACGAGCTGCCGATTGCGAAAGCGAGAGCGAGATCGAGATCGAATAAAGAGTGAGTGAAATGACTCATCATCAGAGTGTTCCAAAGTCTCATACATTGAGTTTTCCCCCTCTATCATTCGTTTATATCACAGCAATGACAATTTTTAAAAATCTAAATATGAATTCCATTTTTGATAAATAGTAGTTTTTCTTTTTATATAATATTAATTTTAAAATACATTATTTATTACAAATTTATTTTGTTTTAATTTTCAAGAATTGTATGCTGCTGCTGTAATATATGGACATATATAGAAAGAGTTTGTTGCTTCTCTCTTTTTCTTTTTTATTTTTTATATCAATGTTTATACTCATAAATATTATTGTATTTAAGGTATCGAGTTTTATAATTCTACGACACATTAGGTATATTTCAATTCCACTAGAAAAAAAATCGAAAAATGTTGAATTTATAAAATAATAAAAGGAATATCATACAGATTGAGAGGTATATGTGTATATGCGAGTGAGCATGTGTGTCTATGTGTATGTGTGTACATAAGTAGGAATATGCGTTCGTGTGTATATATGTAAATTAATAACCCAGACAGCACAAAACATCCTCAGGATCATCCTGAATATGTCCAGGATGGTTCAGGACATTTGTAGGATGTTTTAAGATATTATTATAAATATATTTTATGAAAATTTAATATGCATACATGATTACTTTCGGTTATGTAGGCTATTTAATATAATTTAGAAATTTTAAGTATTGTAATAAGTATTAATGTCCTATAAATGTCCATTGGATAACCCCTGGATGTCTGTAGGATACCTGCCCTGTCTATTATATTGAATGTCCTTTGGATTTCCAGAGGACATATACATGTGCAATTAATTGTTAACATTAATTTCGTTTAATATTAATAATTGAATTTGATGCGCACATTTTCACATATTCAAAATTATTATTTATTTAATAATTTATGAGAAATGTTACTATGCGCAACATTCCAAAAACCTTACAAAAAATAGTATTCAACCGCTAGTTAGTTTGTTTACCGCTATGCGAAGCGCAAACTCGTATTTGAGATTTGGTCATGAGAATTATATAAAGCTTGCAAAGAGCAACTAACAGGAAATTAAAAATATAATTATTTTTTATCAGTTCAATTTCTGATGCAATCCAAACATAAGGAAGTCAGATATTGGATTGTTTTGAAAATATTACACGACTCAAACCCGGAAGCCAAACCTAAAATATTCATGTACAGCACGAAAACCTCAAATATTAAAGAACGTGAACTATTTTTAGTATTAGATTTTTAGTATTGGCAGTAAATAACAGAACGCAATCTTAATTTATATTTAAATTTTAGAATTTGTTCCTTTTAACGTATGAAAAATATCCCTAACATATCCTATAGAAATCCTTAAGATGTTCCACAGGATCTCCCTGGATTCTCCAGAGGCTAGTGTACGGCTATCATTTACTCTTCCTCAGGACATCCAGAGGAGATCCGAGGATTAAAATAGGATATCCTCAGGATATCCTACATGTATGTCCTGGATGCCCTTTGGACGTCCTAAGGACATCCTTGTGCTGTCTGGGAAATGTACGTATTAATGTACCCTCGGGCACATTTAGTGGTACATTTATCGAGAATGGCATAAATGTGCTATAAATGTGGTTCAGAATACGATTTTCACTATAAAGTTGCGCATTTAAGCTAAAAATGGCGATCTGCCTCTAAATGTGCGCTCAGAATACCGCCACATTTATTGTGTCATCTAAGATACATTTAGAGGCACATCTAAAAATAGATGTGAGCTCAGAATACGGGCCAATGTCTCTGAGCAACTTGCACTTATTCGCTAAGTGTCTACCCTCGCACCTGAAGCATGTACAGTTAGATTTGTCGTTCGCATTCGCATTATCTGACTTTGGTTTCGAAGTTTTGGCGCGTTCCCTGGTGTATTTCGGTATTGGCTTCTTATAGGATCGAGGTTTCTTATCTGCTTTTGCCCCCATATAGTCGGCGGATGCTCCAGGTGTCCCAGGATGCCAGTATATGGCATTAGTTTCCGACAGCTCTATGGATGTGGCTATCTAGATCATCTTATCGAAGTCTAGGTCTCAGATCTCCAGCAATCGGGATTGTGCGCGCTTGTAAGCCCGTACACAAATTGATTCCTTAGGGCAGTTTTGAGGTATTGGCCAAAGTTACAATTTACGCTGAGTTTATGTAATGCCGCCACATATTCTTTTATACTTTCGCCATAACAGGACGCAATTTTCAGAATTTGCTCCCTGAAACGTACGAAAAATATCCCTAACATATCCCATAGAAATCCTTAGGATGTTCCATAGGATCTCCCTGGATTCTCTAGAGGCTATTAGTATTCGGCTATCATTTACTCTTCCTCAGGACATCCAGAGGAGAGCCAAAGATTAAAATGGAATATCCTCAGGATATCCTACATGTATGTCCTGGATGCCCTTTGGACATCCTAAGAACATCCTTGTGCTGTCTGGGAAAGGAATGCTTTCTATTTTAACATGTTAATGAATTGTTTTGGATTAAAATTTTTTTTATTTTTTATATGTATATTGTTTATATGTAATTTTATCATGTATAGATTGAAAACTATAAAAATGAATACATTATTATTATAGAAAATTTAAGCCAAGTTTTCATGATTTACTTTGGTCTGAAAGTCATTTATGCGACTTAAAATTTGCGTAAAATTTTCTTTTAAACTATACATTATATAAAAAATGCTTTATTAAAGGAATCTTAATTCATTTAGTGTGTATTATAAATTAATAGCAGATAACTTATTATATATTTGGCTAGTTGTATTGATGATCTTATCATAGCTGTTCTTATTTTTTCAAATTTTTTGTTGCGTATAAGTTGAGATATTTTTTATGTACTTGGGATATTTTTTTACCTTTGTGAAATTTTTTTTAGAAAATATTAATTATTATATAAAAATGTGAGACTAACGTAAGTTGATTACGGAATATTGACGTTTATATAAAATTCTGTAAATGATAGTATACCAGGAGAATAATTTTATAAATTACGAAGCGTGCGCGTTTTATTGCAGAAATGGTAAATCATCAATAGCGCAAAGAAAAAAACAACATACGACGAAGGAAGATTGCGGCTATACCGACGTATACACATCCATGATGTGCATCACGATATACTATAAATAAACCCAAGCACATAGGCGCCTTACTGCGAAATGCAAGTATGTAATCGTACACCTCGTAACGGTCGCCACGATTTTTAAGGCACTTACAATAATCTGATATAAAAAAGTCATAAGCAAAAATTTATCAGTTTCTAACCGGCAATAAATTGCAATAATAAAAATTGACCAAACATTTTTTTTTCCATAAAAAAGCAAGGTCACCTTCATTTTTTTAAATGGAACGCCCTACTTTTTATTGCATATTCTTGTAGCTTATCTCGAGAGCTTTCCAAAACTATAATAAAGTATTTTTTTATTAAGTACTTTTTGTAAAAAATTGAAGGTGACCTTGCTTTTTTATGGAAAAAAAATGTTTGGTCAATTTTTATTATTGCAAGTTGTTGCCGGTTAGAAACTGATAAGTTTCTGTGTATGACTTTTTTATGTCAGATTATTGTAAGTGCCTTAAAAATCGTGGCGACCGTTACGAGGACCACTCTGTATACAGGGTGTTTTTTAACTTGAAACTGCAAAATATCTCGGAAAGTAAGCTTTATTCAACACAGTGTTGAAAGATATCGAAAAACTTAAAAAATCCAATTAATGAGCTATCTCGGTTGACAGTGCGTGTGCATTTATTAATTAAATTATAATATCGTACTAATAACTCCACACGTTTCGATTCCCGGATTCGGGATCCTTTTCAGTGGAGAGAAAACGCAATATAAATTAAAACATTGAAAACTATCGTAAATTAAAACTATAAAAATACAAAACACGAATTGAAGAGGATCCCAAATCTGTGAATCGAAACGTTTGGAGTATGATATATTTTGTAATTTAGTTATAATAAACGCACACGCACTGTTAACTGCGGCAGTTCATTTAATTGGCTTTTCTACTTTTCAAATTTTTCAGCTTTTCTATTTTGTAAGCTTGCGCAAAAAGTATTTATTTTAATTTAAAGAAATTGAAATTTTTCAATTAGTCGATTAAAATAATCGCCAGATAAATTGTTTGTCAACAAAAGACTACTCAAAGTTATTTGCCAATTTATCGCTTAGTTTGATATAATTATTACTTAAAAAAAAACAATAAATGAAACAGTGAAATTACCAGTTACCAAAAAATCGTTGTTGAAATTTTTTTCGGCAATGGGTTAACGTGGTTTGTTTTAAAATATAGATCGACGCCAATGAAGTGTAAGCAATTGTTGCGTCAGTTATCGCGGTTCGTCGCGCGAACGCTGATGATTGGACGCGGCTGCTGAGCGGGAAATCCCCGTTGAAACCTGCTCCGCACCGCGGTTGTCTCACTGCATTCTCGTATTTATCTTTTCCACTGAGTAAAGACGTATACTTAGTAGCTCGAGGGACGTTCAACGATGAACGTTTGATGCTGCTCGTATAGAACGCAATATAGCATCTCTCGCGGTTTCGTAATTTTTCTCGGTCGAAAATCTCAAAGCAAAATGAATTATTGTGCGATGTTATCTTCGTGAAAATTACCGCATTTGATATACTTGTATATACGTTATCATTGCCACATGTAAGTGACGAGTGCGATTGACGTGCACTGCGTTTTTTTTTCGTTCTTATAGAATAAATTGATATCGTTATATGCTGAGATTGAGGTGGAAGAGTTAATACCATTAAATAAAAATGGATTCATTTAATAATTACGGTAGGAATGATTTGTCGGAGGTAAGTTTAACGCAAATGAGAGATGTTAACATATATGTGCTAGTATATATATGTCTGTGAGATCGCTCGGTCTTCTATCGTAGTTTTTTCTCAGACTTTTTAAAACTTCGAATTTATTCAAGTCTAATTTGGAACTCGATTTTAGTTTAGGCACTTTTATCATTTATTTACATAATTCCCTAATAAACTAGACAAAATAGATATTTGCACAGCATTAAAAATCAAATTAAAGCGAACATATTTTTAGCAAACAACTGTTTTATTTATTGACTTGTTGTCGATTATGAGTTTCGAGTTGTTGCGCGTGTTCTTTTTCACACTCTGTATTTTATTCGCAAATATTTTCGTTAAGGATGTATGTGTCATATGTCAAAACATCGACAAAAACATTAAAATTTCGTAGACTGTTCTACTATTTCTTCTGAGTATCTGTACAAAACCTGAGCACAATTCTTTTAACGATTTGAAAATTATTTAAGTTTAAAGTTAATAGTATTGATTCTTATGGAAAATCGTATATTGTAGCACTTATTGACAAATTTGACAAGGAAAAAATATTGCCAACAAAATACAAATTTTCACATGTATTAAAAATCTCTAATAAATATTTGTGCAAAACTTGATTTATAGATCCACTTACTCGTTTAAATGTTATTTACTAAAAATTATAGAAAAATATTTCTCTCTCTCTCTTTCTGCAAATTATTCGATTTTTTTTATTTCTTGCAGTTGATTTCAGGGGGTATTCACGATCAAAAGTTTTTGTCATAAATTAGGAAATATATTAATTACAACTATTTTCTTTTACGAAGACGTTAAAACCATATTATTTTGTGATACTTTAATTTTTTTTATAATCCGGATTTATTTATTTGATTTTTCAAACAGTATAAACGTGAAAAATGTTTTTTTTTTAATTTTGACAGTTTTTTGCTACTATTGTACAGCCAAAACCTTTCTTCCTTAAATTTACATTTAATGATTTTTGATTGCAAATTTGTTTAAAAATCAAATATATTATGTGTGAAAGCCTCTTCTGGATTATGATTTTCTCCTGTTTATCTTATCCGATACATGCTATTCCCGAAATTTTATGTTTTAAACTCTATGATTGCAGATGTATCCGTCGTTTATTTATTTAAATGAAGATGAGAACAGTCACTTACTCCTGGACATGGATTCTTTGGTTTCTAGGCGTAGTAATTTCTTAGCGAACCGCAGTTGTGAATCAGTGAAGAAGAAATGTTTTCTCGGTAATACACGTAATTTTTTATTTTAATTATATTAGAAAAAATTAATTTCGAGATTTATTCAAATATTTATTTTGTGCCTTCCTAACTTTGTCATAAAGTTCGATAAAATTTCAAAGCAAAATCGTGTTATTGTAAGAAAGTAATAAATACTAAAGCGTTTTTTTTTTCTTATATCGCTCGGTCGTCTACGATGCCTCTTTCACAACGATTTCTTATTACGGGTCCGTAATTACCAATGCAATGATAGTTGTTGGAGGGGATTTCTCGGGACTACTTAACATTGACGTATTGCATCGATTTATGGAAAAACCGCATTTAACTTTAGCATTTAATCATTCTATCTCTAAAAAAACACGCTACACAAGATACTCGACAGATCCGACTTTAAAAATATCTGAATGGATAGGTGACGAGGAATGCAAGGAAATCGATGGTACCGGATGGTCAGATAAACCTATCAAAAACTGGTGTCAAGAGGAAACAATAAATTGGCTTATGTCAGCCGCATCGTATATGGGTCAACCGTACAGTTCTATTCAACATAGTCTTGCTGTGTCAGGGAAGGAACTTGTGACTTTTACCCGACAAGATTTCATTAATTATGATCCAATATACGGGGACCAATTGTACGATCTTCTTCACTCACAACGTGTATCGAATCTGCGTACGTACGTGAATTTTAATTATGTTTATGAATTTTAATATGCAGAGTCCATCTCAAAGAACTCCGAGTTTAATTAAGCGATATAGATTCTTTGACAAATTTATATTTTAGTAATTGTACTTTACAACTGAAAACTTAGGAATAAAGTCTCTACTGAGATAATCCATAATGTATTAGATACTATAACGCGAAAAAAAATATAAAATCTTATAAACTTAAAATCTTATCGATTTTTTAAAATAGTGCCATCATTCGATACTATTCAACCACAATCGGAGGACGAATACGCGCCAGTTATTTCAAACAACATATCTGGTAAATTATTAAGAAAATTTCTATGATTGTATACAGTTAGAAAATTTGTTTTCTTATTAAAAAATATACCGGTTAAAATTTTTGTGTTAAATATTTAAAACGTTCATATGTTATTTCAATATATTGCTGTTGTGTTAATTGAACTCAAATATTAAATTATTAAAACAATTGAAAAAATGTAAAAATCGCAATGTGCACATATTTTATTAATTTTACGCAATAGATATGTTCCTTGTTACTAGTGACAGGATTTATCTATTAAAATTTATAGAAAAAAAATGTTGATTTTATTCTATAACGAGTGGGAAAAGGAGTGAGAGTAACTACAGACTATCAATAAACTACAAACTATCAATAATTTTTTTCTAAATTCATTTTATCATTAAAAATGTTGATTTTACAAAAAATTATTTGAAATTACTATGAGGGTATCTATACTCCCTGGAAAAAGCTAGAAAATCTGGAATTCTTAGGGATTTTGTTTTTACCTTGAAAAATCCGGGAATTCACATGGCATTTTATTCAAACTCAGAGTATTTTTTCAAAAATTTTATCTTTGATCATTTTGTTATTATATACAGGGTGAGTCATTTTAATCAACGCACGCAAATATCTCGTAAAGCTGTCTCATTATTATGTACATAAAAGTATTACGGTAAGATTATCAAAAACTGAATATTTTACGAGATATTTTATTTTTTATATCAAAATATGTCAGATTAAAATATAAAATAACTTAAAAAGTATTTAATGAAAAAATACTTCTTTATAGTGTTTTGAAAAGCTTTCGAGATAAACTACAAGAATATGCAATAAAAAATGGGGGGTTCCATTTAAGAAAATATCGATCACATTGACTTGGCCTTGAAAAGGTCACTCAAGGTCAAGTCCATATTTTCATCATGTGTCCCCCTCTGAACCCTACAACTTTTGTATAAAACATTTTTTCCATCTTGCTTACTTTACGAGATATTTGCGTGCGTTGATTAAAATGACTCACCCTGTATATTGCAAGCATCGACAATCTGATTGGCCAATGATTGTATGAATTATATGTTTCAAACATATTATAAATATATATTTTTCTTTCTTTGATTATATGTTCATTGTCATACCAAAAAATACTGAATACACAATACTGAGTACACATTTTTTATTGTAATTCTGACAATTAATGATAGAAAATAAAAATATTATGCAATTGGAAAATGCTTATCTTTCAAAAGTCATTCAGTTCTTTTCAGTACATTTTTAAATTTAATATTTAAAATTTAAGTGGTTTATTTTTCCTTTGTATGAATAAAAAGCATTAGAAAACGTACACAAAAAAAAACTTATTTTAAAATACTCCATCTAAAAATTCTCTCATTTTACCTAGAATTTTGAACAAATTACCTGAAAAATCAGGAATTTTCACGGAATTTTTTTACAAGCTTTGGATAGATACCCTAATTATGAAATTTACATTCATTCTGTGTTGAAATATTAATAGGTATTAATGTCACCATTTAATCCATATATCCATATTATGTTAAATTAACATAAAAATCTGTGTGGACCGTTCGGAACATGCAATATATGTTACATTTAACACAAATTTTCCAATTGTGTACCGATTTATATTTGTACGATTTTCAGTTTTCTTTTTTTGTTTTTTTTTTTGATACACCAATATTTTCGCTTTTTTCAGATGCAGAATCGGATAATAGCGTTGAAGTTGCAACGAAAAGAATGCCTGGCAGACCAAGAGTATTAAAGACCAAAAAGAATCGTAAGTATTGCAAAATATTTTTTCGATCTAATCCGAAAATGCATGTGTTATATCGACTGTATAATTACGCTTATACAGCTGTCAGTCAAGGAAAACTATGGGAATTTATTAGAGATTTACTACGTAATAGAGAAACGTGTCCTAGTTTAATCTGTTGGGAGGATTATTCACAAGCCAAATTTCGCTTTGTAAAAAGCGACGAAGTAGCAAAACGGTGGGGTTCACGGAAAGGAAATACAAAAATGACTTATGAAAAACTTAGTAGAGCTATGAGGTAATAGAATAATTTTTTGATTTTGTATATATATGTATATATATGTACTAGAAAATAATATTTAATATATTCATGTGCGGTTGTGTTCTTATAGATACTATTATAAAAGCAAGATATTTCTACCGGTGCTTGGTCGAAGATTGGTATATCAATTTGGACCAAATGCAAAAGGATGGCAAACGGATAATCCAAATTTCCGAAATTGAAACGACATTGTCAAGAAGAAGCGAATATATATGTATATATGGAATATGCGAAAACAATAAAATAAACCGAATATCTCGTGATGTTCTCGAAATGTTAAAGATAATCGCGCATTTAACACTTTACTAATCAAAGAAGCTATCTATTAATAAGCCTCTCATACTAGAATAAGCCAATCAGTAATATATTAATATGTTTTATATGCTTCTTAAATAGTGCCATAAATATAGCTATATTTTTTCACAAATATAGAAGCATAATAATATATAGTAAGATAAAGTTCGCGTAACAACAAAAAAGGAATAAAGCCTCAAGAAGATATTCCGTTTATCTATCTTGCCGCCGCGGTTCCTTGTCATATTTTTATATTTTTAATGTTATCAAAACTCTAATTACATAATAATTGTGTTTACAATGATCTTAAAATGCAATTAAAAAGAATGTGCAAGAGATACTATTTAAGAAGAAAAAATTACTATTTAAGAATAATTTCACGAATAAAATCAAGAAACAAATCTTTTATAAAAATGAAAAAGGAAAACTTCTTTATTATATTGTAATGTACATATTTGTTATTTATATATATAAAAAAGACCCACTTATTCCTATTTTATTATTAAATTCTTATATAATAAATTTCCAGAAATAGCTTAACAAAAATAAGTTTATAATTAATTTGTAATAATTTAAAACTATATTAAATATTACTTGTGTAAAAATAAAATTAAAATTATTTTTTTTCCAAAAGAACAGTTTTATTTTCGTCTTTTTTTCGTTGTCAATGAAAAATTTGATGTTGCTCTTCTCTTCTGAGGCTACAAAAAATAAGCATTTATCAAAATATACGCTTCTTTCAGTGGAAATACACATAAATCAGATAATCGAAAAATATACAGGGTGTCCCGCAACGTGATGTCCACACTGAAACTGTGTATTCTTTTTGTCATTCTAAGTCAAAAAGTCTTAATACACATATGCCCTAAAGTCGCACCCTGTATATATATGTGTGTGTGTGTGTGTGATAGCGTCTTAAAAAGATCTAATACAATTAAATTACCTTGCCTTGTGAATCCTCATCTTCCTCTCTAATTTTGTCGTTCTTTTCAGATGTATTATTTAGGTTAATATATTGAAAGACAAAATTTCTTGCATTTATTGTATGAGAAGCAGATTCACCTTGCTTTGCCAATGAAGCTATCTTCGCCAACGACTCTTCTCCTCGAGTTAAAAGCGAACGTTTTTTTATAACATTCTGTAAAATGTAAAAAAACGTATAAACAAATTTTGTTATCGAGTCATAAATAAAATATGGCAATACATGCCATAATGTTGTAAACGTTAATTAACAGTTAATTAATAATCTTACATATATCGTCTGGGATTTTTTTCCGGTATTTGGTCTATTCAATAAGTCTGTTATATTTCGCGGCATAATTGGTTCCATGTTTTCAGATGAATCTATTTTGTTATCAGAAGCATATAGTTCTTGAGATTCATCATTCTTAATCTTTTTAAGCGCTTCCAGTCCAAATTTAAAAATTTGACTATTGCATAACTCATCCTCAATTTCATTATTCGAACATTTCTGTAAATGCATAAGACATATGTATGTAAACATATTTTTTTTTATATGATCATTATATATATATATATATATATATATATATATATATATTTCATTTGGCTATGTTCGACTTACGTGAATGGAGAATTTGAAAGTTCAGATATATGTTCATCTTTGGGAAAATAAAATATTTAAAAATACTTTATGCGACACTATAGGAAATATTTTATCTTATATATATATATATATATATATATGTGTGTGTGTGTGTATATATATACAGGGTGACCCGCAATGATCACTCACTAAATATATAGCATTATTCCTTACCAAAAACTGAGTCGAAAAGTCCTGAATAAAGGAGTTATTATTGAGTAAAATTGAGCCAATCAGCGCCGACCTTTAGCCGGGCGCATATCGGTGAGCCGCGCGCCTGGTAGTGTGCGTGAGCGCTCGGCGGCGCACACTATCAGGCGCGCGGCTCACTGACGTGCGTCCGGTTAAAGATCAGCGCTAATTGGTCCGACTTTACTCAATAATAACTCCTTTATTAAGCATTATAAAAAATATATATGTGTGTGTGTGTGTATATATATACAGGGTGACCCGCAATGATCACTCACTAAATATATAGCATTATTCCTTACCAAAAACTGAGTCGAAAAGTCCTGAATAAAGGAGTTATTATTGAGTAAAATTGAGCCAATCAGCGCCGACCTTTAGCCGGGCGCATATCGGTGAGCCGCGCGCCTGGTAGTGTGCGTGAGCGCTCGGCGGCGCACACTATCAGGCGCGCGGCTCACTGACGTGCGTCCGGTTAAAGATCAGCGCTAATTGGTCCGACTTTACTCAATAATAACTCCTTTATTAAGCATTATAAAAAAAATGGTTCAGGACTTTTCGACTCAGTTTTTGGTAAGGAATAACGCTATGTACTTAGTGGGCGGTCATTCAGGGTCATCCTGTATATTTTATGTAATAATATATATATATAATATACCATCCTGTCTTCAAGAAACTTGTCTCTTTCTTGCCTGAGTTTACTCCACTTTGCTTCTTCCTCTTCTTCTTGCACATCTATCCAGCCATCCTTCTCGTCAGATGCTTGTGACATTTCATTATTACTTTCTAATTTATCTAATACAATAATAATTATATTAATATTATTATAAATATAATAATGCATTGCATATTAAATATCAATTTTTTGAAATTTGAATTTTGCAGAATATTTTTACAAAAGTAAGTTTTTTTCTAATGCAATCATCATGTACAATAATATAAAAAAATTGCAATAATCATCTAGTTGAGAGAAAATCGACTATATATTTTTATACCTATATTTCTCCACTTGAACTTGCGCTCGCGACTTATTCCATTGGTGTGCAAATCTCCATCCTCAAATAATAATTCTTGAAGTAATCTAACTTCCTTTTTATCTTCATTTAGCACCTGTCTCATGTACGTTCTATGAATCTTCTCCAATTGATTTTTCATTTCATGTTCGTCTATATGTTCGTCATCAGCTTCTTCGTATTCTAATTTATCCAAATCTTTTTCGTCCTCATCAGCGGAATCCCAATCACTTTCGCTCAATTCAGCCTCTTCATCCAAAAAATCAGCCGCAACTTTTTTTATATCTTTTTCCGGTACAACTTCGTTCTCTTCGGAATCATAATCTATATATTGTTCTTCTGTCTCCTTATCCATACCATCGTTCTCTTCGTCGGACGATTGAGCATTTTCCTCCTCCGAATCAGATAAATGCAATCTTTTTACTGAACGTTTTCTGGGTTTCAAAAACGTATCCGTTTCATCCAATTGATCATCATCGTCTGAAGAAACAATCGTCAGTTTTAATTCCGAAACTATTTCACCAACTTGTTCCATTTTGCTCATGTGATTTACAGAATTATTAGAATCTTCATCTAATATCAGTTTTACATCTTGAGAGTTTTTATCTTCTATTTCAAGACTTTTTAATTCTTTGATATCGATCAGTTTCGTATTCCAATTTTCTGGACATAATCGCGATTTACTGTTAGTCGTTTGTAAAGATAAATCTAAATCGGTTTTTTGCGTGGAGTCAAATTTACCTGAACATAATCGCATAAGATATTCATCATCAACAGTTTCTTTAGTATCGTCAAATAGTTTTTTCCTTAAAATATTTTTGTTTCCAATATTTTGTGCATATTCAGAAGACCTATCGCTTTGTGTGTTTTCCATAAAAATGGATTTCTCATCTGCATCAAACAGATATTCTTTATCTTCTAGTGTATCTTTCTTATTTTTTGGAGAATCCAAAGTAGTATTTAATACACTTAATTGTGTTATAGGAGAAACAAAGTCAAGCATACTTGTCTTTGTCGAAGGTGTCTTATTTATTTGGCTTCTAGTAATAACTTCTGCATCCTTTTGATTAGCAGGCATATTGCTTTTGTTCTCACTTATTAAATCATTATCTTCATACTGTATCCCATACATATTTACATCTTTCAAAACGTTTTTTAATTGTTTATTATCATTTTCCGGATAGATCGGATTTGTAATGTTTAAATCGCCTTGAAACTCCTCTATCAACTGCTTTGTTTTATCTTTTTTATTCTTAATAATATCAAAGTTTTTACAAATATTATTATCATTTTCTTTAGAATCATATTCACTTCTATTCTCTATATCTGTGTCGGAATCTATTACATCTTCTTCCTGTTCAGTCTCTATTTCACTTGTACTATCATCCATATGTTCTTCTCTACACTTAAGGTTTGCGGACTGTTTATTGTTATATTTTGCTTGAACCACATCATTCTTGCTATATGTCTCTTCTGCATCTGTACTTGAATCTTCATTGTCTGTAACTTCAACTTCGTCGTCTACAAGTAAGCACTTACTCCTTTTTTTGTCCTTAATACAAATATCATCCTCTTCGAGTTCGCTTTCTCCACTATCACTTGATTCAAAATTAGGAATTTTTTCCTGTCCATTTGAATCATAATCACTCTCTTCTTCCTCATCCCATTTTTCTTTTTCTTGTAATTCTATTTTTTTATGCTTCCATTCTTCATTACGTTTTATAGTCATTTGTAACTTTAGATCTTCTTTTAAACGTATTAACTTGGCCCCAGGCTTACTCAACTCAGGATTATCAGTATTAGTGGGTAAATTATATGGAAGTAATTCCTTAATCAAAAGAGGACTGTTTGGAGTATTTTGTAAGTCTACCATAGTTTCTTGAGATTTATCGTTAGCCTGTCTTTTTGCATTAATAACATGTTTACAGAAAAATCTATCTAATAAAGTATTTACACCTTTTCCATATGATTTCACATTATTCGTCAAATCAATAATCATACCTGGTGATCCTTTTAGTGTAACTATAGAATTTGGTACTAATTTTGGTAATAATTTTTTTCTATCAATTAAAGTCTCATCTACAAATTTCGAAAATGGCAAACCAAGTGCATGATTATCAGAGTCTTTACATTCTTCTGTTAAAGAATTATTTTCATATTTTGATGGAGTGTCATCAGTTAAAATAATAGATGGTGATATATCCGTTTTATCGTACTTATCCTTTTTTTTATCATTTTCATCTTGTATTATAATAAAATCATCAGAATTTACAAATGTAACAATATTATCTATCTTATAATTATCCCTTTGAAGAGTTTCAGCTATTTCCTTATTACTTATATCATTAGGAATTTCTAATATTTTTGTTTCTGCAATCAAATTTTTATTTCTATCTATGTTAATTGCTTCAGAATCACATTGATATACTTGTGATATTTCTGATATGTGATTTTCTGTCATACTAATTTCTGATTTCTTCTTATAATTGATATATTTTTCCTTCTCCAAGGAAGTAATAATAGTTTTAACTATTCCTTCGGTCTCTTGTTTGTTGGAATCTAGATCAGAATCTTCATTTGTTTTGCTCCCAAAACATGTATCAAACAATTTTCTCGATACATTACATTTTTGATGGTTTTGTTTGTCTTCATTATCTATTTGTTGTAATAATGTATTAGATTCATCATCATGATTACTGCTATTCTCAGTTATGAAAGATGACTCTTTATTTTGATAATCTACTTTGCTAAAATCTTTTTCAGATACCATAGATGTATTGAGATATATATGGTCTTGTACAATCTTTCCTTCATTATGTATAGCTTGATTGCTTGTATCAATTTTTTGAGAATTTTGTATACACATATTTTTGACATCTGTCAATGGCATTTTTTTATATGTAATGGAAGACTTTTTTATATCTCTAGCAGCAAAAGATATAGATTGTTGCGTATCATCTTCTGAATCTGAAGATTTATAAAAGAATTCTGCTTCTCTTTCTTTTTCCGCAACAACTTGGCTGTTTAAAATCATATGTAAAAATTATTTATTTTGTATATGAGAAAATCCATTTTGTAAAATTTATGTAAATATATATATAATTTAATTTAATCAATTTTATTAGCATACAATATAAAAATTATATAATAAAGCAATTTGATAATCAAATTAATATTTAAAAAATACACACAGAAATACACACAGTGATGGGCAAAATTTGATTATCAAATTACTTTATATAAGTGTTATGTATGCTAAAAATTGACAGGTTTCTTGTATTCAAAAGTTTGATTTTTTAAACTCTACACATTTATTCTTATATGTACAACAGTCTATGTATAAATGTATAAATATTTGAATTGTTATTATACATGTGATGTGCTATAAAACCACTGCATTTTTTGTATTTCTGATAGTAGATTCTATAGTCAAGTGGAAGTTGATTTTTCCTTAAGCAAAAATGTTAAAAAACATTTTTTAAAAGTTTACAGTTTTTTTTTCACCATATATCTTTGTAAGACTCAAATTAAAGGTCTCTTTTACATTGTACTCGGAATTAATTAAAGAATATAGTTTTCTTAATCTTTTAATTCCACAAAATTTAATTGATAAAAAACCCTTCTTTTCCAATAGCTTGCAACTTGATAATTATTAATAATTCAACATCTTTATTATAAAGAAAAAAAAGAATTTATCTCCAAATCGAGGAAAATTTGCTATTAAAAGTGTGTAATCTTGGAACACCCTATATATAAAAACTTACCTTACTATTGCAGATGACATTTTCAGTTTTGCAACTGTTGTAGGTGCCTTTGGAAGAGATGCCAATATTTTCTTTCTGTTCAAGAATTCCTGTAACGTACGCTGTTTTGGTTTGTGATATGGTAGAGAAATTTCTGTTTCTCTTAATAAACGTTGGGTTTCACTATGTATCTGACGCATTGCATCATCTTTTGAAGCTCTGATAGATCCCTATTTTAAGAATCAAAAGCTTTACATTAATTTAAAAGATTTTGTTTCATATTAAATATTACAGCTACTAAATATTATAGCATTAAGATTGACTATATAAGTTAGATTAAGAATAAAGATGTACAAACCTTTCTCTTTTTAACAAATTCTTTTTTACTACTTTTATCCTCAGATATGTTAAATTTTTCAAATGCAACAACAGAATCCTGTGTTTCTCCTTCTTCTTCTTCAGATTCAGAATCTATTAAAGATTGATAGCCACTAGTCTATAAAACAAAATAAAGTAATTCCAAATAATTTCTATATATGGCATCACATTTCTCATTAAAATTATAAATTGTTAATAAAAAATATATTTACATATATTTGTACTTACAGTAATATTTATAGTTTTATCAACAGTTTGAGAAAAGTTATTAATCTTGCTCATCTGTGTGTCATCTTCATATTCGCTTTCCATTCTTGCATTTTTATTTTTAAGATTTTTCTTATATTTTGCAATGTTTAAATGTTCATCATTTTCATTGGGACTATAAGTTTTTGTCAATGTTTCATACAAAGTAGATTCATTTTCGGAATCGCTATCCACAAGATTTAAAAATCTTTTTGATAATAATTTTTTAGTATTATTAATGTTGTTATCTTCATTGCAGTATTTATCACTAGCTCTCAATTCATTCTTTTTACTATCCCCTGGTTTGTTATGGTCACTTTCATTATCTAGATAACTATTGTTAATCGACACAGAATCGCATGCGATATTTTCTAAGTTTTCTTCAACATTTTTCTCATCTTTCCTATTGTGTGCTCCTTTTTCGTCATTGCATCTTGGAATATCATTAGAGATATTTGATTCACTGTTATTGATGAAGTGTTCCTTTTCGTTGAAATCTTTGTTACTTGATGAAACTTCCATTGTAGCAAGTAGTAGATGTTAAGTAATCATTGCCGTTGTCAAAAATCTGCCATTTCTTTTCCTTCAATGAAAAAAAATTAAATATAATTAAAAAATATTAAGTTAAAAGAATTATATAAGTGTAAAAAAAATAGTATCCATATACATTCTCTTAGGCACGCAGGTATGTTGAATTTATAAAAGTGCTTTTGTTCGGCCGTTATATCATAGCTAATAATACACGTAATTTATTGTCTTTTTCTTTAAGCTATAGATATATAAACTGGATTGAGCCTGTGGAACGAACTATGAATACCGGCCTATGTGAAGCATTGAACTCTATACTACAGTCATGAAGGAAGAGTAAGGAGAGTTATCTCGATAGCGTAGAGAGAAAAAAAGTGGTCACGAAAAATGTTCCGTATGTGGCCAGGTTTGCCAAATGGAATGACTTGGACCAATCTATACATACTGGAATCAGAGAAAAGAATGAGAATCGCCACGCTGCCGTTTTTCGTGAGACGCTATTTCTAGATCGTACACTAACGTCACGTACATCCATTTTATGCCGCCTGGAACTACATGGCCACATCCACTTTCGGAGCCGATAAAACAGCCGATTGGTTCATGTCCGTGCTTTATCCACTTTTCGATACTGTCGATTTTGGTTCATGTCCATGCTACATCCACTTTTCGACATTATCGATGCTGGTAGTACACTGATCGTTTCAAAGAGAGATGATTGCGCTGTCTTCGTCTCTTTTTCATTGCGTATGTGTGTAGCGTCCGTGAAGGCACAACACCTATACGTTGAGCACACGGATGCGATTGTGGGAGATAATATCAGATAAGGAGCGACAATCGCGTGCTATCCTTGTTCCTCTAGCTAGCGTATCGCTTTACGGCCGAAATACGGCCTGAAAATGCTTTCTGGCCTCTCGTGACAGCAATAATGCAACAAGGCTAATAAGCGCCCACTTTATAAGAATTTTATACTTGCGTATATACATATGTAAATATACAATTGTACCTACAATTAAATATTATATGATGATCAATAATATTAGGATAATAGATAACAAAGTGAATAAATACAAAATACGTCAGACGGATGCTTGCTAGACTTGATGATTTGTTGCTTTGTTACTATCGATACTCCGT